AGGAGAAAAAAACTTTCCCACAAACTTTTCTTTAGGACGCTCCAGTGTCCTCATGCTTTGGAGCAGGGACTTGAAATTAGGCCTTTGAGCCAATGATGAGCCATTTGCTGTTCCCCGAAAATCCACTCTCACAGCTGCAGCTGAAATCAATGGGAGCTGTGCTTTGAACATATAAAGTGCTGCATAATGCTAAGTATTCTGGAATATCAGGTCCCAGGTGTCTCAAATAACTGGGCATCCAAAATTAGTAGATACTTTTGACTTTAATCTCTTTGTGCCTTAGTTCCCCATCTGTAAAATGAAGATAACAACATGCCCTCATCTCCCAGGGGTGTTGTGGAAATTAACGTTTGTAAAGCACGCAGATGCTATGATGCTGCTATTGTATTAATTTAGAGGGAATAAATGGACCCAAAGAGTTAAAGGTGTTAACATGACCCAATCACTGTCTGACGTTAAACAGTCTTAAACAAGATTCAAGGTCGCTGGTACACAGATATCTTTTGTACCTTTTCCCATCAACATTTGTTTTTATAGGTTATTGTGACATTTTCTGGACTTTTATTCACTTTTCACAGTTGAGCTCACCATTAGTGTAAATTTATATGCCCGGTTATCATAACAGTACCATACAAAAGCCCAGGAGGAAATTAATAATTCTGTTTTCAGAACAGGGTTTGAATAGTCTGCAGTAAAGGCCTGGAGCCACCCATTGAAAAATGTGGAGAAAACAAAATATGAAATAGCTGCTCATTGAGTGAACACCATCCATTCTGTGCACTGAATGAGGCAAGGGTCTTGTGGGAAAAAAACAGTAAATGGGTAGTGTAATTGAAGCCCATAATGCATATGCACAAGGGGGCTGAATTAAGGTTACACCGGCAGCCTTAATTCTGGCATTTCCTAACTTTTGACTGTGCAACCTTAATATTATTCTTTTAACTTAGGACTTTTTGTGTAATATATGTCGATATAGTTTATAGGTTAGATATACTGCACATAATATTATTGATATACGGTATACCATAGATATAAATTGCAGATAAGATGTTTGTAATATTAAAATAGGGGCTACATCAGATGAGACTTTTGCCCTGGTGTCTGCCAAAATTTCTCTTCCTATCTGCATATACATACACAGTTGTGCAGCATGTTGTGTGCCATTTTTGCAGTCATTACCCCAAGGGTGGTTGCATTCAGTGGTGAAGTTATTCCAGTCTGTCATTTGTTTGGATTTCATAGGTAGTTGTGCCCTGAAGAGCTCTTTTATCCCAACTGGCAAAGGGCGTACTGTTATGTAACCATAAATCCCAGCAGATCTGACAAACTCACTACATTCAACTCGCTCTTGTCAGAATATTTAGCCAAACCGTTCTTGTGAGGTGTCATGAAAATGGTGACATGCTGGTCATGAATATCATTGTGTGATGTGGGTATGGGTTGCGTATAAACAGTTATGTACGTGTGCTGGAAATGTGTTCTTAAAAGATGTCGTGGAGGCAGTTGATAAAGGAACGTGGGTTATGTGTCTTCATGGATCAGGCTAACAGGCAGATGAGAAAACCTCATGGCCTGGTTACAAGAAAAGGACAATAAAAGTACATATACATCCAAGGTAAACAAAGTGATCAAGTTTCAGAGTAGCAGCCGTGTTAGTCTGTATCCGCAAAAAGAAGAACAGGAGGACTTGTGGCACCTTAGAGACTAACAAATTTAG